GATCATCTTCATGAACAAGAACTTGTCGGTACATCTTACTTATATCTCCTGTCATGACGTATTTATGAATACGAAATCTGCTTAAAATCTCAAAAATATCCTGTTGCAGAGTAGGACCTGTAAACTGTACATCATTTAATGACAATGCGCTTGTGGTTTTACAAGAAGCATCAAAAACTATCCGAACTCTTGTAGTCAGACTTGTATTTTTAACCACTGCATGATGTGGTAAATAGTATCCGTCTTGATCTGCCTCATTGACATCATTAAATTCAGACATATGATTTAGAGTAGAATATTCTGACATAAATTTTACATAATCATTTTTTAAATCAACATTCTTGTTTAATTTCAATTTCTTTTCTAAGGAATAAAAACGTTGTAAGGCATTATCGCGAGAATAACCTAAATTAGAAAGAGTATTTTTAAAAGGTATTTTTACAATATATCTGTTGTTTTTATCTTTATTTTTAGTTTGCTCAAAAAATGTTTCGCAATAAATTTCCGCTTCTGATAATATCTTTTTTTTATTATTCACTTCTTCCAATTCCCAAAATCGTAATATTTCATTATCTAACAAAGAATCTTGTAAAGTACTCAAACAATTTATTGACTTATTAGCCTGTCTCCTAATAACCATATTACCCGCAACTATCCAACCCAATAAAGTATCTTGTAGAATAGGTAATTTACTCCCAAGCGATTTTTGATCTGGCCCCAAAATAGCCCAAAATATTTCCGATCCTAACAAAAGATCAATTTCCTGCGAAATATTAAATTCAAAATCAGCTAGTTCAATTTCAAAAGGGATTTTCAACAAATTTTTATTAAAGGTATACAGGGGTAAATTATCTGTAATTTTATTTATAACTAGACAATTGATTTTTCTTTTAAAATTATTATTTACATTTGAACGTATTTCAATATTTACTTGCTTGTTTATATTAGCTAAAGTTTGTCCAATACCCTTAACTGCGTGCTTTTTACTATTTACTGGCAAGTTTAGTCTTTTGCAAAGCCCTTCAGTAATAAAATTACTTTGCGATCCATTGTCTAACAACGCTCGACATTTAAATACCTTATTATTTACATTTATTTGAATCAGTACCGTTGAAAGCAAAACTTGCGATTCATTACATGGCGCGGCAACCTCGCTCGGTCGTGCGTGAGCTACAAAACTTTCTGCGTTTGCTGGCGGTGGCGGCCCCATCCCGTCGGAATTGCTAGAAGTACTAGGGAAGGAATTATTTGCACCTCGGGTATCGCTGTTCAAATTATTTAACGTATCGGAATGAAGTATTGTGTTATGACCTTTACGACATTTGCTACATTTTCTATTCAATTTACATTTCCAAGACGGATGTGATGGTCGGAGACAATTTAGACAAAGCTTCAATTTTTTTACAACTTCGATTCTTTGATTTACGGAAAGATTCAAAAATAATTCGCACTTAAAAATACTGTGATCTTTTTTACAATGGTAACATTGATACGTAAAATTCTCTGTTACTGCTGCTAATCCATGACTGCCAGGTCTTTTATTTCTATGAAATGGAATTTTATCCTGAAAAGTTAATTCAATCTTCTCTAATATTTCGCACTTAGATTTAAGAAATTTGTTTAAATCCTCTAAACTTGGTAAATCACCTTCAAAACTAAAATTTTCCCAATCACGCCGTGTTATAGAATCAAATTTATTTGCAAGTATATAAATAATTAGTCTGTCCCAAGACTCGGTTTTTTCTCCCAAACTTTTCAATGAGCGTAAATGCTTAGTCACTGTATCGTACAAATTTCTTAAACCCTTGTGGGATTCATAGGTTAATTTAGGATGCTCAAATATACTCTGAATGTGATTATGAACCATCAAAGATTTATTTTCAAACCTATCTACCAAAATTTGCCAGGCAACTTTATAATTAATTGCAGTAACCTCCACGGACTGTATAACTTCAAGAACACTCTTATCTAATGAAGATTTTAAATAATAAAATTTTTGTGTATCATTTAGAAATTGATTATCATCAACTAAACTTGTGAAGGTATCCTTAAATTCTAACCATGAACAATAATGTCCATTGAATGTTGGCAAGGTTATGGGAGGCAACCTTATTGTGGGTGTTACGTTATTATTTGCATTATTACTCGCATTATTACTTCTGATACTATTCCCACTCGCACCTGCTTCGGACTGAGCTTGAGACCCCGAATTTGTATCCGAATAATTATAAAATATTTTGCAAAATAATTTAGCTTTACTGATTGTACTATAAAATTTTGTCTCAAATTCGAGTTCTTCTTTATTAAGTTCTTCTTCGTTATTAATTAGCACATTTAATTGTAAAATTATTTCGCTAAATTCACTTAAACAAGGTTCAACATTTTCTAAACGACTTTCAATTTCAGCAATTATTTCATCATTTAAATCATCTCTATCAAAACCACCAAGAAACTTTTTAAATCTAGAAAGTTTACTTTTCAAAGCAGTTTTTTTTGCCTTTAAATTTGTTTCCTCGGACATTTCCAACTCAGACAAAAAATACTTTTACTATTTAATTTATTAATATCTCTCACCTCAAAAGCCCCTCGGAGAACCCGTGGTGGAACGATCCAACTCCCGTGTTGTCTTCCGATTCTCTGCTGGAACTTGGCTGCTTGCTAATCCGCCAACATTTTACCAAACAATTTGGATTTTCTCAATAATTACGGCTTGGCTAGACTTTATAAAACACACTAGTTAATCCTGCTCGAATGGCCAATGATGGGGCCTTCAATAAAACTCTTTTTAGTGGACTGTAAACTCGTTAATTTATTATTTTATAAGGATTGAACTAAAGTACAACTTTGTCTAGCCGCCATGCTGAAGGAAGAGAGCGAGGCGTCTCGTGCAACGTGCAACGTTGCCATCTCAAAAACGAATACATATTTTTAGGTACGCCTTGACAATAATAGTGTCGACACATAACTCGATCGGGGTAGGAAAAATGCGATCGTCTCCCAGATAAAATTCCATTCTCAACCAAGAATTTCATCAATCTCTCCTTGGGACATTTTTCAAATATTTTTCCAAAGGTATTGATGACACTTATCGGTCTTTAGTTACTGATATCATTTTTATTGCCAGCCTTGTGGATGGTTGTCACAACAGCAATTTTAAATTCCGCAGGCACCATACTGGTCTCAAATATTAAATTCACAATATGAGATAATGGCTCCAAAATATGTTGATGCACAGTTTTTATTACTCTCGCTGATATACCGTCCATACCAGGGGCCGAGGCGTTTTTAAGTGAGTTGATATGTTTTATTAACTCGTTATTGTTTACAGGTGTTAAAAAGAGAGATGATAGTGGTTCATTAATAGTACATTTTGGCTCCTTGGCCGGTAGTATTTTCTCAGCCATATTTTTTCCTATTGATATAAAATAGCTATTTACCTAACAAGTGCGGAAAAATATTTTCCGCAAGTGTTAGGTACAATATTTTTCCAACAGGCGTAAAAATGTAAAATTTTTCTTTTTTTTCTTGACATATCAGTGCGGTAAATTTTTTTCCGCACTGACAGCCGTGCGGAAAAACTTTTTCCGCACTGATATGTCAAAAAAAAAGTTTTACCGCACCGTGCGGGAAAACTCATTTTCCGCACGCATATCAGTGCGGAAAATCGATTTTTCCGCACGGCTGTAGGATAAAATTGTTACAGAAATTGGCCATGTCAATGTCTGTTTGAAAGGCTTTATTTTTTATGTCAAAGATGTTAATTTTGTCGTTATTCTTGACTTTCTCATTTGTTGCATTGCATATTATTTTATAGATCTGTTCAACATCATTTTGACTTTCATGTATTTTATTTTTATAATAGTCAAATTTACATTTAGTGATTTTTTTACTGAGTTTTTAAGTTTTCATCTTGTGACTGTAAATATATTTTTTTTTAATTTATCTCTTTTTTTTATGGAATTTACTATACTAAAGGTGATCCAAGGTTTAATTTTTTTTGATTTATTTACGATGACTTTAGTCGATTTTGCTCCACGAAGCAGCTCTTGGAAGATTTCATAGAATATATTAGTTGCTTCTTGAGAATTTGCGCAGTTCAAAACCAGTTGCCAATTCTGTGTTGCAAAAGAGTTATATAGAGCAGCGTAATCAATAGAAGTGATTTCTGATTTCACGTTGTCTTGTTTGTATCCATCGCATTTAGAGTTACCCAATCTCCCATTAAGCATAACGGGATAGTGATCAGTCAAGTCAGAGTCCAACATAAAAAATTGGCAATTAATTAAGGAATTATTAATTTTCTTACGAAAAAAATATGGTCAATACAGGTAGCTGTTGTTGATGTGACTCTGGTAGGACAATTGATAGACGAGAAGAAACCAAGGTTGCCAAGGGTTGACAGATAACCATTAACACTCTCATCATCACAGTCAGAAATATCAATATTATTATCACCCGTAAAAATCTCAATCTGGTTTGTAAGATTGTCGGTGAAGTAGTTTTCTAAGTCGCTGACAAAATAATTTTTTCTTGTTGAGGGAGGTCTGTATAGGCAAGTTACACCAACACTAACATTTTCCACTTTGAATTCAATCCTGCTGAGGGTGACATGAGATACAGGAAGCAAGACATATGTAATGTGCACATTCAAATGATCTTTTGTATATATTAGCATACCATCATTTTTATTTGTACTTGCATTTTTATAATGGACAGAGTAACGAGGCAAATTGAACTGCTCGACCTCACAACCAGAATGTTGGAAGGTTTCACTCAGTACAATAATATCACAGTAGTCGAGACCATAAGCCTCCAATGACACCAACAAAGAGTCAAAATTCTTTTCCACACTTCTGATATTTATGTGCACTAGATTCAGAATTTTTCCAAGAATATTGATTTTAGATTTAAGAATGTCACTTGAGACATCCCCGTGCAATGTCTGCAGCTTCCTCCATATTTTCTAAACTCTCGAGAAGATTTTTCATATTTGCAGCCATTTATTGCTTTCCATAATCTATTTTGCTCCGTACAACATCTAGCATGTATTTGTAGGAAGGACATGCAGGATCATTGACTTCATGAGCGGCATCATAATTTTTTTTATATTTAGATTTGGCAGAAGTACAGTTTGCACACCTCTTAAAATGTTTACTACACTGTTCTGTTTCATGACCATCCATACAGTAGCCACATACCGAAGAATTTTTACAATCAGTACGTTTGTGGTTGTAGCCCTGACATTTATAACATCTTGGGACAGTAATATCCTCGAAAATTCTGCAGTTTTGCCACTGCAAATAAACCCTTCCTTTTCGGACGCATTTATGGAAAAGTTCGGAAGAACACTCCAAAAATATAGTTTTAGTGTTTTTGTTACTATGATTCCTCACAAAGACTACCTTAAGGTAATCACTTTCCAAAATATATGAATTTTGTCTTCTGAGGTCATCCTCAATATTGTCTAGTGATATTTCCGGTGTGACATCAACTATTTTCAGTCTGGGGCATCTCAGCATGGTAACATGGACGTTATAGTCATTGCTCAGCGTTCTTTGCGCCTCTCTTTGAAGTGTTTCGACTTCTACCTTAGTCACACATTTTATGACCATTCCACCATCATTAATCTCCTTAGTACTTCTCACTCCGACATTAAGCGCCGGCAGCTTTATATTTTTGTGTAAGTCTTCCCTGGTTTTTTGTGTGTTTCGTTTTTTTTATGCTTTAGAATTAAGCTGGGGATATTCTTGATTTTGTTGACTTCACCAGAGACCTTATCAGCATATTATGTAACTTTATTTTGAATAAAATTCACAGGGCTCGTTTCTGATTCAAATTTATTTTTAAAAGTTGAGAAATCCTTCTTCAAATCTTCAATCATGCTAATAATCATCGGCATTCTCCTTAAAATTTGTCTGCATGAGTCACAGACAAACATCAAAAATCGTTTCTGAAGTGGCATCACTCGGACCTCTGACGATGTTAAACCATCACATGTTTTATGAATCTCGCTCAAACAGGAGTCACATTCAAAAATTTCCTGACCTTCGATATCCTCTCTGCATTTCAAACAAACATCCGTAAATTCCTCATTACCATCCATATCGGTAGAACCAAGGCAAGGATAGAACAAAATCCCAAGGAAAATCAATAGTAATCAATACCAAAATTTGGCAACGTTGCACCACATTCCTACACTCAGCACACCGAAATGAACGTAAACAAAGTCTTTTTGTGGCGGTTCGAGTAACTTTTCACACTGAATTTTGATAAATGGGTTTAATAACCTGTTAATCAGAAACAACACTACTTTTTTCGATGTTTTTGCGAATGACGTAGAGAATATATCCAACATGGTTGCCAGACATGGCTTAGGATGAAACAGATTTCAATCGTTTAATAGCGTATTATGAAACGTCGGTAGAAAAATAGTATATTAGGCAATGATCATGTAATGATAGGCATTTATACACGAGCATGTTGTAGGGAAAAGGGCTTCGTCGGGGATTGGTGGTAAGCTAATGCGTAGTACTCCCCCAGGACACCAACCTCCAGTGCGAGGATTGATGCAGGTTTCCTTGCGACGAACTGGGCTTGTCCGGAAGCCTTATTTCGCGCCCGAGAGGTGAAACAATGGCTCTCTCTTTTTTTTCTTCTTTCTCCGTACCTATTAGGTAGTTCGCACCAACAACGCCCTGAGAAGCCCGTCTACCGGCCGCATAAAGCGATCCCTAAGGCAAGAAAACTCACAGCAGAACGTTGTCAGCCTAATACGCGCTCCTGAATGCCGGGTACATGTCACAGCATTCCTGTCGAACAAATAAGGGGAGAGCTGTTCTTGTCTCTGGCGCAGAGAACGGGGCAGACAGACGAGATGAAGTCTCAGTCACTGCCTGAAGAGATCTAACTAACTCTGGCCTAAAAACGGTTATTTTTATACGTTTGGCCGATACCCTTTACAAGCTCCGCCCACAACGAAAAACAGCCAATCCCATGCAACGCAACACCCCCAAGACAAAAAAGATTTCAAAAGTTAGGCAAAGCCTCAGTTTTGCAAGTATTTTTTGAATCTAGTTTTGCCTATGGAGAGGTGAAAGCTAGGCTGCATGTTTTCCCGGTTTTGCCTATACGAGGTCTTTCGTATTTACAAATTCGAGTGTGAAAATTTCTACATCGACTAGTATAGGTTCTGGGAGTTGGATTTCGTTATCCTCCGATTCTAAAGGTACGTGGTCTGTTATTGCCTGCTCTATCGCCCGCTATTCCTCTGCCTTTCCGCTGTACTTCGTATGTCGTTTCTCCAGTCTTTTTTACTATTTGATGAGGGCCTGTCCATATAGGGGCAAAGGCTCCTCTAGGGCGATTACGCTCAGTTACGCGATCTCCCACCCGAAATGTTGTAAGTGGGTCACGGTTCTCGGGATATTCCTTGCGTTGGAATTCCAGCGTGCGCTTGACAGCCTCTTTGAGGACCTTTGGCCTGTTTTGTTTTGGTTTATTATGTCTCTTTCATAGAGCTCTCCATTCGCCTGGGCACGGTAGCTCGTAACCCAGTACTAAAGCGGCAGGGGTTTCGCCCTTCTCGCGGTTGCGCCGGCTTCCAAGGATTTGAAGTGCCTTAGGTAAATACTGCTCCCATAGAGTCTCTCTCTTATCGTGCAGCAAGACGCTGAGTACTTTTTTGAGTTGTTGGACTCGTTGTTCAACAGGGTTGGCTTCTTGGTGGTATATTGACGAGCTACTGTGAATTTTACCATGTTGTTCGTAGAAAATGTTCAGTAGTCAGGATTCGACAGATATCCCGTGATTGTGCTCGCTGACATGGGAACTCCTCAACCCACTTGCTGAAAACATCTTCGATAAGAACAATAAGAGTGTTCTTGTTAATTTTAGACTCTGGGTATGGCCCCAGTACGTCGACTGACAGTGTTTCGAAGGGTTGTTTTGGTGAAGTGTGTGCACGTTGAAGTGCCGGAATTTGCCTTCTTATAACGTACTTATTTTGGCAATTGCCTAATTATACTGCATACGGCTAGTCAGCTTCAGTTCGGAGGCCATGGGTCTCTGGGTTCCTTGTATACATCTTACCTTTGGGCGCCATCAAGTTAATTGTAACTTAACTAGGAAGATAACTTAATGATGTTATAAACAAAACCTGTGCAATTGGAGAGCTTATCAATAAAACAACTAATTAGGTACAATAATATATCTGGCTTCTTTATTAAAAATAATAACACAATATAGGGATAGCCAGGAGGTTATTAAAAATGTGTTTAGAATAATGCTTGTACCCATTTATAAATATTTGATCTGACTATAAAATCGAGATGTTAGTTCAAGGTTGTCACCGCTTTAATTATGCAAATAAGGCAATCGGAATATAAAATCGATATGTTTATGTTAGTTCAAGGTTGTTACCGCTTTTGCATACATTAAGTGCCGACTCATAGATAGGCAATTACTTATACATAATTGAAGTAGGGTAAGTGTTTGGAAGAAGTCCGGAGAGGTCAGGAAAGGGCTGGATAAGGTCGGGAGAAATCTAGACAAGTCTGCATAAAGTCTGGATAAGGCTGGATAAAGTTTAGCTAAGTCTGGAAAAGTTTGGATAAGTTTGGATAAAGTCTGGAAAAGCCAGAAAATTTCTGGAAACGTCTGGAAAAGGCTCTATTAGGTCTGGAGAAATCTAGACAAGTCTGGATAAAGTCTGGAAAAATCTACCCAAGTCTGGATAAAGTCTGGAAAAGCCTGGAAATTTCTGGAAACGTCGGAAAAAGGCTGGATAAGGTCTGGAGAAATTCAGACAAGTCTGGATAAGTTCTGGAAAAGTGTATTTGAAGTCGGGAAAGTGTTTGGGAGAAGTCCGGAGAGGTCAAAGGGCTGGATAAGGTCTGGAGAAATCTAGATAAGTCTGGATAAAGTCTGCATAAAGTCTAGCTAAGTCTGGAAAAGTCTGGATAAGTTTGGATAAAGTCTGGAAAAGAGCCAGAAAATTTCTAGAAACGTCTGGAAAAGGCTCTATTAGGTCTGAAGAAATCTAGACAAGTCTGGATAAAGTCTGGAAAAATCTAGCTAAGCCTAGAAAAATCTGGATAAAGTCTGGAAAAGCCTGGAAATTTCTGGAAACGTCTGGAAAAGGCTTAATAAGGTCTAGAGACATTCAGACAAGTTTGGATAAAGTCTGGAAAAGAGCCAGAAAATTTCTGGAAACGTCTGGAAAAGGCTCTATTAGGTCTGGAGAAATCTAGACAAGTCTGGATAAAGTCTGGAAAAATCTAGCCAAGTCTAGAAAAGTCTGGATAAAGTCTGGAAAAGCCTGGAAATTTCTGGTATCGTCTGGAAAAGGCTTGATAAGGTCTGGAGAAATTCAGACAAGTCTGGATAAAGTCTGGAAAAGTGTATTTGAAGTCGGGAAAGTGTTTGGGAGAAGTCCGGAGAGGTCAGAAAAGGGCTGGATAAGGTCTGGAGAAATCTAGACAAGTCTGGATAAAGTCTAGCTAAATCTGGAAAAGTCTGGATAAGTTTGGATACAGTCTGGAAAAGCCAGAAAATTTCTGGAAACGTCTGGAAAAGGCTCTATTAGGTCTGGAGAAATCTAGACAAGTCCGGATAAAGTCTGGAAAAATCCAGCCAAGTCTAGAAAAGTCTGGATAAAGTCTGGGAAAGTCTGGAAATGTCTGGAAACCTCTGGAAAAGGCTTGATAAGGTCTGGAGAAATTTTGACAAGTCTGCATAAAGTCTAGCTAAGTCTGGAAAAATCTGGATAAAGTCTGGAAATTTCTGGAAACGTCTGGAAAACGCATGGAAATTTCTGGATTGGGTCGGAAAAATTCTGGAAAATCTGGAAAGGGTTGAATTTTAGCGGATCTCAAAGCTCACAATAATCACAAGCATTAGCGTTGAAGTTTGCTTCGGCATTTTCAATGTTCTCCTCGGTTGCATCTTTGTGAAGGACTGTGAATTTGTTACTTATGTGACAATTCTCTGACAATATGCCTATTAGCTGTGCTATTAGATATTGCTCTGTAGATGGTTGTTTTTCAAAGCAAGGAAGTGGTTTAATATTTTTTCGAGGTCCAATAGAAGAATCTAGGTATGTATAGGGTTTTCCAATAGTAACGCTCGATGTTTGACAATAGCCCATGAAAAACTCGATAGTCACACAGGTGCTATCTTTGGCAGCCGTATTCAATTAGTCTCTGCATTTTATTATGGAGCGCTACACGATTGAGCAACGCGTCGGAATTGTTAAAAATTATTATCATTATCAAAACCAATGTTCTATTCGGAAAACGTTTCGTGCACTCCGTGCAATTTATGATGTCAACGATCGTCCTTCAGAATCCACAATTGGCCGACCTAACGTCACTGGATTTTTTTCTCTGGGCATTCTAAAATCCAAAGTCTATGTTGACAAATCTCGAACGGTTGCCGCCTTAAAGGCCAATATTAAGCACTTATTGCTGAAATTGAGCCATTTTTATGCGATAACGAACACTAAATGATTCTAACGACAATCTAAAATTGTCGGAGAAATGTATTGATAATTCGGATATTGTTGAAAACATCTATGAGAAGTAAAGTCCGTCGATTTTAATCTAATACTCGAAAG